GGGGGGGGGGGCTTCTTTGTGTACAGGATTTTTATCTGTATTTGGATTATATCCTTAGACTACATTCCCCCAAGCAAGATTCTGGGTGTTAAAGGCACACACATTTTTAAGTCTCTTTGTAAACTGCTGCAATGTGTTGGAGTGCCCGTCTCCCCGCATCATCACCTGAAGGGCACGTTATTGTTTTTGCTAATTTGATAGCTTTTCATTTGTGCCATTACTAGTTTTTTTACCCTCACCTGAGGATGTTTTTTAAATGGGTTTTCAGAGAGAGGAAGGGAGGGACAGAGAGAGAGAGGGACAGAGAGAGAAATCAATGAGAGACAGAAACATCGATCAGTTGCCTCCCACACTCGCCCTGACCGGGAATTGAACCCACAACCTTTTGGTGGACAGGATGACGCCTGAACTGAGCCACAGGCCAGGGCTGCGTCCTGACTATTTTTGCAGTTTCCGTTCTACCTGGGGGGAGCCTGGAGCCCAGAGGAGTCCCGGAGTCAGATAGGCGCAGCGGGGGACCGCAGCTGGGTCCAGACCAGGGCTCCCCACCCCGCAGTGTCTGCGAGGCCCTGGTGGGGGGCTGCACCACAGGGCGGCCGGCGACGGGTGATCAGCGAGGCTGGGAAGGCAGGCTCTACGCCCAGCCCCTCCTCACCCCCCTCTGCCCTCCCCATCTCCACCCTGCGAGGGGGCCACCCGGGAAGCACAGGCCTGGGCAGGGGCTCACCCCCCCACGGGACCCTCACCCCATACCTTCTGCTGGCACTTGGGGCACACCCACACGCCCTTGGGCGCTGCCTTGAGGGGGGGGTCCAGGCAGCTGAGGTGGTAGGCCCCCGGGCAGGTGCCGCAGGGCTGCAGGTTGGCCCCTCTCTTGCAGGCGGCGCAGAGCTCGTCGTGGGTGATCTCACTCTGAAAGAGAAGGCCGGAGGGGGAGCAGGTCTCCAGGCAGCTGCCTCCCTACCCGTTTGTGTCCCAACCACGATTTTCAGTGGCTCTGGGAGAGAGGGATGAGCCTGAACGTGACCAGGAGGAACAGCGGGGTCCTAGGGCGCCCATGGGCGCATTTGCTGGGTGTTCGAGTTGGGCGTGGAGGGGCTCCAGTGTCCTGACTCTTCCACCGTGAGACAGGACTCCAGGTGTGGGGCAGTGTGGGGGTCCCGCTCTGAGGCTGAGGAAACAGCCTCCCTTGGGGTCTGCATTGTCCCGGGGCTCCTGTCTGGGCTGGGGCGGGCCGGTTGTCACAGGGCTCCCCCACGGGGTCCCTGTGTGCGCACTGCCTGGGGAGGGGGGCTGTGCGATTTGCGTGTTTCACGGTCCTCTCCAGTCCTCTCAGCAGCACCTCGATCTAACCTGGTGTCTCCAACATCCTGGTTGGTTACCGCACGTCCCGCCCGCCCCACGGGTTGTTGGGAGGACTCACAGATAAGGCACAAAAGCACCACCGGGTAGGAACCCAGGGAAGGGTAGCTTCCCCTTTCCTCAGAATCATCATCTATAGTCATCATCATGTGGTCATTCAGCCTCTACTTACACACCTCCAGGGACAGGGGGCTCACTACCTCTCAAGCCTTGGCTGCCCTGCACAGCCCTGAGAGTGAGGAGCCGTTCATAGCCACGCCTCCCGTGACCTGCACGATCTCCCACCACCCAAGAGAAACCTTTCTCCCTGCACTTAACATCTGTTCTCTATCCATGTGTCAGTATCTCCCACCTTCAGACTTGGAAGGGACCAGCAGGCTCTCATCTGGGATGACGAGTGCCACTGGGACACTAGATCCCAGGCCGTCCCTGAAGGAGGCCTCAGAGACCCTGCCCTCACTTCTAGTTTCAGTTCAAGGGCCCAGAGAGGGTGAGCTGCTTGCCCACAGTCACACAGTGAGCTGGAGGTGGAGCCAGGACCAGCATCTGGGTCTCCTACCTCTGCACCAATGCCCCTCCAGCACTGTGGGCTCTGCGGGAGCGGGGCTTGGGCCTGAGGTATCTCCTGTCCCTATGCCAGCACGGGCTGGGCACGGGGTGGCTGTGGACAACCGCTACCAGGTCACCAGCACCAATCATGGCAGTGCAGGCTCATTGTGGAAATAACACAGTGTGACCGGAGTCTACACCCATCGTTTACTGCTTCTCAGTTGCTGGACCGTTACAGGCATGTGGGGACCAGAAAACTCTTAGAATTAGATCTAAAACTTAGTACATAAAGCCCTGAATAAATTCTGAGCTGTGCCCTCAAATGAGGTCACGACCAGCCAGTGTCCTGGGGGCAGGGACGTGCATATGCATGCGGGATTAGGGTCTCACAGGGTCACAGAAATGTGGATGAATGGGGCAAGGCCCTGGGGCCTGCCAAGTCAACCCCTCAAGGGGTGCACAGTGAGGACCAGAGAGGGGCAGCTCTGCCCAGGATCACACAGTGAGGCCAGGCAGAGTCTGGAAGAGTCCAACTGGCACCCAGGTCGTTGTGGCTCCCGGGGTCCCTGCGTCCTCAGCAGTGGCCAGGGAGGGCCCAGCTTGAACCTGCGGGCTGTCCCCGGCAGTGATGTCTGACTGCCGGGCAGGCTGGAGAGTGGACTGGGTGCAAAGCTCTCAGCGCCGAGGGCAGGGCCCAGAGGCCCTCTGCTCGGCTCCAAGGCAGCAGGACACTGGGCCCCTCACCCTTGCCAGCAGTGACCCTACCTGGACTATTGAAAGCATGCCCCACCCCCAGGTATGAAGAGAGGGGACACATACCTTCCAGCAGGGGTCCTCATTGGCTAGCACAGGGAAGAAGGGCGGAGAGCATGTTAGTGGGCATCTGGGGAGCCAGCCGGGACTGGAGTCCAAGAGGCCCCGTGTGGCCAGGTTCTCACCCAGGGTGTGACGGGAGCGTCACAGGCCCCAGCAGCAGCTGGTTGCCACCCAGGGCACGGGGGGACTAAGAGCCTCTGCCCTCGTCACAGCCAGGGCCCAGCACGGCCCAGGCTCAGCACGGCCCAGGCTCACCACGGCCGGAGGTCCTGAGGAACGTGGCCGCTGCGAGCTGTCCAGCAGAGGGAACTATCGCGCCGGCGAAAATAAGTGGCTCCTTTGACTCTGTTTTTGCCCGTAACCCACTCTCACTCGTCTTAGCGATCAGACCAGCCTGCAGGTAGTGCCAGCCAGCACCCCACAGTTGGCACAGTGCTGCCACGTCCGCCCCTCATGCCGCTTTCCCAGGGACGTGCTGCCACGGGCTCATTTTATATCAGTAAACCGAGGCCCAAGCAGGCGACCGGCCATGTCAAAAGCCGGAGTCCCGAGAAGAGGACAGTCACTTCCTGCCCTTAAGACTATTTGCTGTTTTCTAATTGAAAATAAAAGGCAACCTCCCGGTGGATGTTATATTCGCGGATGTCGGTTTCTCGGACCCTGAGGCTGGCAGAGGAGGGAGGTGCCCATGCACCCGGGGGTGAGGGCCTCAGGTGAGGTCCCACCTGCCAGTGCTAGGGACCCAGTGTCTTATTGTGCAGGGGCCCGAGGCGCAGGGGAAGGTCTGGCCCTGGCCACATAGCTCTGACCACACAGAGTCAGGGGCGGGCGGGGCCGAGGCCCCAGGGTTCCCGCGTGCAGCCTGGGCCCTGTCGCTGCCCGGGGCAGGCACACGGGGTGAGTGAGGCCTGGGGAGCGCCATCCGCCCATGTGGGGGGGCGGGGAGGTTCTCTCCAGGGCTGTGTGGTGGCAGGTGGCGCCTGGGCAGGGCCACGGGGCAGAGGCCATGAAGCCAAGTCTGCAGATGCAGGTGCAGGGGGACGGGGTAAGGGGGTGAGTGCCCCTCCTGTCACACAGTCCTCACCCCCACCCGGGGCAGTTCTGTAGTGGGCAGGTCCTGCCGCAGTGGCCTTTGCCATCATGGGGCCTGGCTCTGCTCAGGGCCACACCCGGGGGTGGGACAGAGAGGCAGCCTGCAGCCCGGGGTCTGGGCCCCAGCCCTGCGCCTGTCAGACGCGGGCACAATCCACCAGCCCCCTCCCCGAGCAGCGTGATGAAGGAGGCCTGGCCTGGGGGCCTGGGGGCCTGGGGGGCTGTAACCGCTGCCCACCAGAAAGCACCTGCATCGATGCCGAGGCCGGGTGCTCAGGCCAGGAGTGGAGGCCACAGAAGCCCTGGCCCCGGAGCAGCCCGGGCAGAAGCCGCGGCCCCCCTGCTTACCTCGTGCTGTGAGAAACAGGGGGCTGTTCAGATAGTTGGACGCCAGCCGCTTCCTCTGCAGGGGACATAAAACGAAACAAAACCACCCGTTGCGTAGAGCCCTCCTCAGGCTACGATCCCTGCCCAGGACTCACCGGGACAGGCTCCCCACCCAGGCTCTGGGCTCTGCTAGACGCCCATGCCCGGGGGCAGGCACGGGACAGGTGCTGGGGACGCAGGGCAGGGGAGAGGCACGTGCACGGGGCAGAGGCGGTCGGCAGGGGCAGGTCAGCAAAGGCCCTGCCCCTCACCAGGGCGGAGTGGTCTCCGCTCCCTGTGGGACCATCGGACACACCAGGAAGGACGGACTAGGACCCACATTGGGGCAACTCAGTAACGGAGCAGACATCTGGTCCCCCACCTGCCTGTCTCCGTATCTTCTCTCCTGGCTGGTTCTGGAGTCAGGTGGGGAAATGGGTGTGTCACGGATTAGCTCCCAAACCCCATATCGTTTTTTTAAAAAAAGTTTATTGATTTTTAGAGAGAGAGGAAGAGAGAGAGAGCAAGAGAGAAACATTGATGTGAGAGCAGAGCATGGATCAGCTGCCTCCTGCACACCCCCACCAGGGATTGAGCCCCAAACCTAGGAATCAGACCAGCAACTTTTCAGTGCACAGGATGATGCCCACACTGGCCGGGACCCTAAACTCCGCTTTTGGCATGTGGCCCAAGAACGCTGGTTCCAGACAAGGTGTGGTCTTTGTGCGTCACGGGGAGATGGAAGTTTCCGGTGCCTTCCAGAAGGGGGGCTCTACCACTCACGGCCATGCTGGTCTGGGCCTTGGTGGTTCTCTGTGGCTTTGGCTGTGGTTGCTCAGAAAGATTGTTCTAGAATTCTGTGTGTGGCTTTAAACCAGTCTCTCTGGATGTGGTCGGGCTGCGGTCAGGGCGTCAGGAGGAACCCGTGGAAGGGCTGCCCTTGACCCTACGCATGTGTCCAGGGCCCAAGGTCATAGGGCTCTGCTTTGGCTCCTGATTTGCTCACAGGTCATCTTTGGCCCCTGCCACAGACTCCAGAGACCAGGGTCTGGCTCTGCAGACCCAGGGCAGAGCAAAGGCTCATCCATAGCCCAGCAAAGGGAACAGGGCTCCCATCAAACAGAGAATCTGCCACTCTCTGGGCGAGGCCGAGAAAGCTCGGTGACACTCCTACAAATAGGCACAGTGCTCGAGACCCTGACTCAGGGACAGGGCTGCCCTCCCATCAGCTGAGTTCCCGTTCATAAGATGCGGGTCAGGGACAAGTGGGCCAGGCTGACCGACACCTAGGGAGGCGAGCGGGACACCTTCCTGACCCCCCCCCCAGGCCCCGCAGAGCCTCACGGCCTCGGGGGTTGTGGCTCCGTGTCAGAGGGCTGACCCCAGCTTTGGACTTCGGGGCCCTAAAAACACTGCTTCTAGTCTAGGGGACAACTCCAGGTGTCACCCAGGGCAGCCCATGTGAGGGACACAACCGGCATTTCCATCTCAATGGACCCTGAACTGAGGGGTGAGGAAGGACAGGGTTTATTTACTGTCCCCCCAGCTCCCAGCCCAGCAGGGGGGTGAGGGCGGCCAGCCCGGGAGCCCCTCCCCACAGCACAGGGCGGGCGGCCTCACCTCCGTCTCCAGGAGGCCGCTGTACGCGGGGTTGGCGGTGCTTCTCCGCTTCCGCTCCTGGCGCTTGCTCTGGATCTCTGGAAGGCAGAGCCCGGTCACCCGCCCCGTCCTGCCNGGGAGCCCCGAGCGCCTCCTCCGCGGGCCCGGCCACGGCGTCCCCGCCCGCCCCCCAGCCTCTGTCTGCACAGCAGCGGCCCCATGGTGCCCGGAACAGGTTGGGGTCGCCCGGCATCGCTCCCTCTGAGGCGGGACCGCTCTGCTGGGCTCAGGCTGGAGGAGAGGTGGGCAGGGAGGTGGCAGGGACCTGGAATCCAGGTACCCACTCTTGGCTTGGGGACCCCTGTATGACCATCATCTAACCTGGGGCTGTCTCTCTTGGGACCCTCAGGACAACAGGTGCCCGTTGGTCAAATGCTGGCCTGGCTGAGCTGCAGAGCGAGGCCTGGGGATCCTGGGGGGACCAGGCGCAGACCTGCTGCTCGGGGAGCCGCGCCCCATGAAGCCCCAGGCATGGAGCCTCCCAGAGGACTGGTGTGGCACGTGCTGTGTGCAGGGACAATGGCCATGTGTGCTTCCTTCGCTCCGTCTCCCCCCCCCTCCTGCTTTGCCGCCAGGAGGGACCTCTGACCAGCTGCCCCGGGTGTAGCTGCTTCGGCCTCATTTTCTAACCCCCGTAGCTTGGCCCTGACTTCCTTTCAAACCTTTTCAATATTATTCGTGCATTTCCCGCAGGCACCTCGGGAAATCAGGGTGCAAATATAGTAGCTATTTATAGTGCCATGGCCGGGGGAGAGTTTTCAAAACGAGAATTATTTATAAAAATCAAAGTAATAGCCACGGTAGACTAGCAAAGCCCTTTGCTCTCGGTCCCCACAACAACCCTGCGAAGTTGGAAGAAGCCATCGGTGAGGAGACTGAGTGAGGTTCAGAGCGGGGCAGGAGCTTGCCCGAGGTCACCCAGCTCTGAGCAGCATGTGCGGGACCCAAAGGCGGCACTTCCGAAAGGCCACGGGCCCGACCCCTGCTGCCCCCAGGGCTCCAAAGTCAGAGCATAAGCAGCTCTCAAGGCCGCCGAGCCCGGCCGGGCCCCTGACACCCGATTCAACAGGAGCCTTCGGACACTCGGGTGGAAAGCTCAGGGGCGCCCAGCCCTCCCCGCAGGGCTGCTCGGCTGGGCTTCCCCCCGGAGCCAGGCCGCGGAGCCCAGGGTCCGGGAGGCTGAGCAGGTCCCTGTCCTTCCCTACCCCCCACCGGGACCGACCCAGCTGCCACGGAGAGCAAGTGTCCCGGGAACCAAAGGGGGTGGCCAGCCCCAGCCCATCCATGCCGCGGGACCCTTACCTTCCAAGTGCTCCGTGGTGACCAGGCCCAGCGCGACCATGAAGGCGATTTTCTAAGGGAAGGAAACGGGGACGGGTTAGTGTCACAGACGCTCCTTGTCGGGGCGCGCGTGCGGGTCTGGAGGGCGGGACGGGAGTCCTGGGGCAGCCCCGCCGCTGGGGTTTGTCTGGCGTTTCCTCGGGGGCGCAGCGGGCCGTGGGTTTGGGGCAGAAGACAGAGGGGAGGGGCCGCCTCACAATCCGGTCAGGGGACGAGCTGCCCACCGGCCAGGGCGACGCCGACCCGGCCGCCCGGCGGAGGCGTGCCTGTCCCGTTTCCCACGGGGACTTGCCCGTGGTCTCTGGGAGGAGGTCCCCACGCACAGCTCACATCACGGAGCCGGGCACCACTGGGGCTTTCGGGGGGCACCATGGACACTTAAAAATTGTACGTAGTAGACTTTATCAGTTTTTCCCTCTGCAGTGTTTGGATTTTTGACTCTTGGCCAGAGGCTCTGGGGTTACAAAGCAAGCCGATTCTGTTCTGTTTGAGTACCTATGTTTCACGTTTTACATTTAGATTTTTTAAAATGTTTTTACTAGATTTTTAGAAAGAGAGGGAGGGAGAAAGAAACAGAAACATCGATGTGAGAGAAGCGCTGATCGGCCGCCTCCTGCACGCCTCCTACAGGGGATCGCGCCCGAAACCCAGGCGTGTGCCCGACCGGGAATCGAACCCGCGACCTCTCTGTGCACAGGCCACCGCTCACCCCTGAGCCACACCAGCTGGGCTACATTTAGATTTTTTATCCATTTGGAGTTTATCTGAGAATAAATGGGAATCAGCGGGCATATTTATCAGGCTGACGTTAAATTTATAAATTAACTTAGGGCACACCGACAACTTTATAATAAACCCCTGCCCGAACCATCCTGTGCCTCTATTTTTTTGTCTTCAGGGGTTTTAAACTTTCAAGGGGGTGCTGAATCCTTTTATTGTAGCAGACAGGGCATCCAAGAGTCATCCCGACGGGGGGGCTTGGATGGATCCCAAGAAGGGGGTGACCTGGTTCTTTCTGAATTCGGGAAGGTCCTCCCAGCCGCAGAGTGAAGAGCCAGGGAGGAGCCCATCTAGGGGCAGGGGGGCCAGAGCCTGGGGAGAGACGGGCAGGAACGGGGCCTGGCAAGGGGATGGCGTGGGGGGTGGGCTGCATCCGTGGGCACACGTGTGGCCCCCAGAGGCCGCGGGGCTGGGGGCGGGGGGCCAGCAGGACGGGATGCAAACTCAGGCAGCCGGTTCTAGAACCCGTGCCNGCGAGGAGACCCAGGAGACCCCTCGGCTGAGACCTGGGCCCACTGGGCCAGTCCCCACTCGCAGCCCCGGCTGCACAGGGCGGCTGTGCCCGGGGCTCGTCCGCCTGCTCCCCGTGAGGCGTCCCCGCCCCTGCGCAGCGGTTCCTAGGCCACAGCCACCCTACCTCGGGGTTCTCCTGGCTCGGGGGCCGGTCTTCCTTCTTTTTGGTGGCCTGAGCTCCCTGAGATGGCTCCTCCGTGGGAGGCCGTGACTCTGCCGAGCGTGACTCCGCCGTGCTCTCAGGCTGGGTCTGCACTTGAGGCTGAATGATGATGACCTGGGAGATATGGAGGGGGGGTGAAGGGGTGGT